CTTTATAGTGCCTTGGTAAGGCCACACTTGGAATACTGCATCTAGTTATGGTCACCACGATGTAAAAAAGATGTTGAGACTCTAGAAAGAGTACAAAGAAGAGCAACAAAGATGATTAGGGGACTGGAGGCTAAAACATATAAGGAAAGGCTGCTGGAATTGGGTATGTCTAGTTTAATGAAGAGAAGGACGGGGGGGGGGGACACGATAGCAGTGTTCCAATATCTCAGGGGCTGCCACAAAGAAGAGGGAGTCAAGCTATTGTCCAAAGCACTTAAGTGCTGGATAAGAAGCAATGGATGGAAACTAATCAAGGAGAGAAGCAAACTAGAACTAAGGAGAAATTTCCTGACAGAACAATTAATCAGTGGAACAACCTGCTGTGAATGCTCCAACACTGGAAGTTTTTAAGAAGAGACTGGACAGCCATTTGTCCGAAATGGTATAGGGTTTCCTGCCTGAGCAGAGGGTTGATCTAGAAGACCTGCAAGGTCCCTTCCAACTTTTTATTATTATTATTGTTGTGGTTGTTGTTGTTATATCAGTTCATGCCATATCATGTTTTCTATGTGATTGACACAATCCTCAATGGCTCGGATAACAGATTCCATCAAGCTCAAGGATGGTTTGATTTTTGGCTTATTGTATTATAATAAATTTAGGCTTATGTACCAGGGTTAATGGCTGAGCATCTTAGAGTGTCCCAAACATTCAGTTAGTTGCAGTTAAACAAGCCATGGCTTAACATGAAGTATAAATCTATAAGTTGCTGTAAATTTTTCTCAATGAAATATTGAACTTACCATTTGTAGCTTTTAGTCTCCATAAATGATTGACTGAATTTACACATAATTTTAGCCTATATTTCAGTTATGGTGTATTCGATCAATCATGTGAAGCAAACCATAGCGTATGTCAACCACATCATTGTCAATTGACTGAGGAATAGGCATACATGAATTCACATTTGGCAACCACAACCAAACACTATATGCTTCAATCTTGGCAGGAGGAACTTCCAAAATCCCAAACCATGATTTTCAATTGAGCTTCATTCAATTAGATGGGTTTGGGACATGAAAAATAGTCCTTCCTTGTACCTTAGAGAGATGTCTACCTCCCTGCACCTTCCATAATCCAGCTTTCTTGCTCTGAATTCTTGGCCCATGCAAGAATTAGAAATATCAGAATTCTGGATAAACCCCAAATTGTAAAGTCCAAGAATGTATCTCATAACCTATATCTTCCAGATGTTACTGGAGCCAAATATTGATACTCATATCTGCCTACCTGCCAGCCCATTTCTGATTTTCATGGAAGCAAGATGAGGCTTGACAACCCAACTGCATTCTTCCTAATATGACAGTTTTCCCATCAGCATGGGAATGGAAAATTAAGGTCAGAGGCAACGGATCCCTCCCCCCTCCTTTCCTCAGAGAGTTGAAGGTAATTAGCAAGAAAATATTAAGCAATGATATTACTCATCTTACTTCTCCCTCTAATAAAAAGTTTTCTAGGGTCAAGTAGTCTTTTTTAAAATTCCATAACCATTAATAATAGCAGTGAGCAGAAAGATAGGAATGAGGTTAGAGTGATATAAGAAGACACTGAAAAATCCATTTCCCTTTAATCGTTGGCTAAAGAGGGACTTATTAGATGAACGTATGTAAAAATGACAACATGCTACCTCATAAGGTTACCCCTCATTTGTGTAGTGAATATTTCAGAATGAGGGTATGTCCAGATGGTTTTTTATTGTAAAATCTTATTGCTTCGACCATGACCTTTTAGAAAGAACCTGGACAAAATCATGGAGTTGGGAGGGGCCAGATAGGTGGTTAAGTCCAAATAGTTGAGGAACCCAAATCAAAGCATCACAGATGGCTGGTTGGCCTCTTCTAGAAGCCAGCTAATGAAGGGGGACCCACAACCTCTCTGACTAATTGGTTCTACCATCAAACTGTTAGGACTTTCTTCTAATGTTCAATCAAAATGTGCCTTAAATGGATTGTTCTGTTCTGGAACAAGGGAGAGGAGTTCCTGTCTTTCTTCAATGTTTGTATCCTTTCAGGTATTAGAAGGATGCCATCAAACAGGGCTCCTGCCCTTAGTCATTTTTTCCTCAAGGCTAAAAAACACCCAGTTTCTTCAATTTTCTTTCTTCCTGGGGCTTAATTTCCAGTTCTCTGATCATCTTTCCTTGTCTCTCCCTGAACCTGTTCCAATTTCTCTCAATCCTTCTTAAAGTGTAATGCTCAGAATTAGGCACCCAGTACTCAAGGTGGTGTCTGATGAAAGCAGAAGAGAGTGGCATGATTACTTGCTATGATTTGTAAGTTGCATTTCTATTGATGCAGCCTAAAATTGCATTCGACTTCTTAGCAACCACACCACACTGCTGTTCATATTTATTTTGCAATTAACCGTTTCAAGTTCTTTTCACATCCTACAGTCCTGCCTTTGATTTTTGTTTCTTTTGTGAAGCACTTCTGTTACGATCTGCTCTAGAGACTTTCCAGATCCCACAGTTGGACTGATTGCTCTGTAGTTTTCAGAATCTTCTTTTTAGCTACTCTCTTTTCCTACTAAATTTCTTCCCAACATTTTTTTTCCAAGATACAATCAGTGACAAAGAGCTGAGGACACTAGAAACTTCTTCAAGGAAGCACCCAGAATAGGTATTTAATTCATAACTCTCACAGAACTTTATTGTTTGTTTAGTGTATATGGCTTATCTTCTGCTCCTTATATCCGGCTTATTCCCCTGCACGTTGCCTCAGTAAGTGTCTGAACTGAAGAAAGTTTGCATAAAGTTATAAAAGGGAATCAGGTTTGAATTGTGAAACTATACATTGATTTAAATCTTGGTGCTAAGCGTGACTTGTTTTAACTATGACTTATATAATAATAAAACACAGAGACTCAGGTGGTTAGAACCCTGATTTAGAGGTTAGCAAGCCCATGTTTGAGACCTGAGTGATGCAGGGTTGGGGGGTGAGCTCCTGTCATTCGCTCCAGCTCCTTGATGGGATATGAAAGGAGCCCTCAAAAGCACCCCCTGGACAGTGATATCACCAGGGCTTTTTTTCTCATAGAACGCCCAGAACGGGAGTTCCGGCACCTTTTTTGGAACCTTGTACGGTAGGCAAGTGGGTTGTATGACGTGTGTGAGTTCCGGCACCTTTTTTTTTTTTTTAGAAAAAAAGCAGTGGATGTCACTAACTAATCCTTTCAACCTGGAAGTGCCTAAAAAGGTGCATCTGACATGAACGGGGAATTAATTAATTAAGTAGTTAGTTAGTTAGTTAGTTAGTTAGTTAATTCTCTGGTTAGAGAAGAAAATCTGATACTTCCAGGTTGCTTCAAACTACATTTCCTAACAGCTCCAGCCGATACATAATACCCGGTTTGAGTTATTTGCAGGTGATTTTCCATCAAGATTGCTGCTCTTTAGAATAGTTACATGAATTAAATTTGGTAGCTCCAACATATCAGAACTGTCAATAGCTCCATGGGGAGTGTGTAGCCAAGCCGTAGCGAATGACCATAATGCAAGATACAAATTGCTATCTGAAACAGCTTTTTCTTAAGCTATCACATACCAATAAAAAGGGACCAAGCATAGCATTTTGTTAGTGATCTCATGTACATGAAATAAATCAACTTTGAATAAATAAATAAATAAATTTCCACCACAAAATTAGTTTAATAACTGGAACTGATGCCCTAGAAACCATTTTTCTTCTGTAACCCATGATCTGAGGAAAAACTCATGATACGATTTGTAGGATTCATTTTGTCTGCTCTCTGTGTATGTGTACAACATTTTCTGCATGTGTGTATGAATGAAATAAAGCGAATTGCACACAGGCATGTTGATATCTAGGGGTACAATATATGGATTGTAGAAATCTGGACAACCATTTGATTGGTTGACAGCAAACAAGCATCTCAGGGTTTGTTTGTTTGCGGCTTTCTAACAGCCATCTGGAATTTTGTTGCCCAGGTATGTTTCCACAACTTTTCAGTTTCCCTATCTGCTTGAAATGCAGGATAGGGTGTATCATGCTATATATTTATGTGTGTGTACATCTGTAAATGTTCGTGCTTTGCATGTAGCTGGCTGTATTACAGTACATTCATAAATATTTCAAAACTTTTTCTGTGTCTGCTCCACTATACTTCCTGAAGTGGCAAAATAATCTCAATGAAAAAAATCAACACAGGAAGAAAAGAGCTCTTTAATTCCTGAAGTGTTTCAAAATATCAGGCTGAGAAAGAGAGTTCCATCTGGTCTTGCTTTGCCAAGACAAACACAAAGAGGAGAAATCCGGGAGCAATCATGGGTTAAGCTAGAGTTTCTCAGTCTCAGCAGCTTAAGATGCATAGTCTTCCATTCAGAATATCAGAGTTGGAAGGTGCTTTGGAGGTCTTCTAGTAGTCCAACCCCCTGCTCAGGCAGGAAACCCTAAACCATTTCGGACAAATGGCTGTCCAGTCTCTTCTTAAAAACTTACAGTATTGGAGCATTTACTGCTTCTGGAGGCAGGTTGTTCCACTGATTAATTGTTCTCACTGTCAGGAAATTTCTCCTTAGTTCTAGCTTGCTTCTCTCCTTGATTAGTTTCCATCCATTGCTTCTTGTCCTGCCTTCAGGTGCTTTGGAGAATAGCTTGACTCCTACTCCAGAATACTCCATCCAGAATGCAAGAAGGGAAGGAAGATTGAATTCTGGAAGTTAAACTCCACACATCTTAAAATTGCTGAGGTTGAGAAACAGTGGGCTAAGCCATAGGAACTTATGGGAACTTTGAACAAGATACCTGGCTAAACCTGTGGTAGCCTCTCACCATGCCTTTGTTTTTTTTCTATAAGGCTAGAATTAAATAGGGAAAGAGGAAAAAAGGTCTGCCTCATTCTAAGTGCAGCCCCTAAAATTTTGGAAGTCATCCTTATTAACCTTAATGATAGTGGCAAGAGTGATATTCAAAATACCGGGGGATTTTGGTACCATTTTAATAGGCTTACTTTTGTTCTGAGAAAGTATCTTATATTAAATATAATTCCTTTTTTATGGGACAGTCAAACTGCATACTTTCACTTCTCCTTCTGTTAGTTTCTTAAAGCCTCCACTTCATAACCCTCCCATTATACCATTAAGATTTCTCACAAATCATTTTTGGAGGGTATATTCTCATGGCACTGATTTTTTTCTCTCATTCACAACCCACCGTGGAGCCAGCTTACATTCATATTTAGTAGTTGTTCCAGTTTAAAATTGTGTTTTCCTTCTTCCCATACAAATCGTGGCCTATAAATGATCCACAATGTCTCACTGACAATGGGGTCGATGGAATGGACAGGGGATGACATCTGTTCAATTTGCATCAACCTGATTGGTGTTTTTGTGAAGTACCTGTTGAATGTTCATGGGCTGTAGTTTTCTTTTTCAAAAACAAAAAACAAAATCCAAGACTGGTGCATTCTTGATGGACGTGTCTGTGTACATCTGTCTGTTGAAAAGAAGAAAAAAAAAATGCTCCAGTCATTTCCCCATTTTACCCAAGAAAGCTGAAAGAGTCAAGTGACTAAAGAGTTGTGTGTGTATGTAAGTGAACAGGTTGTGAAAATTGACAAAATACTGTGGTGGGGCAGGGGTTGGCTGAGATTCCCCTTCCCCAAATCCTGTGCATGTCTGCTGCTTTCATCTCCTGATAATTTACTGTATGTTGGATAGGATAAAGATGGAGGATAAAAAAATGCTATAAGACTCATTCTTGGCTTCCTAAAAAATTATTTTGTGCCAGAGCATTTGAGGACAGGGTTTGTGGAAAGACAGAGCCACTTCCTCCATGGGGAGAGATGATGCTAGTCTGTAATAGTGCTAAACCCATGTCTAAAAACAGTGCAATTATTCTAATAATCAGACTTCCTTTGAACGCAGAACGTTTGCGTAGTATCAAAGCAAGTTTTGATAGGGGGCCAAATTGCAGCTCTAGTCATCTGACAAAATCTACCTCCTTTCCAGCCTCAGTCCCATCCCATATTGTTTTTCCAAAACCTGGAGGGTACACACAACCAGGGGAATCCTTATGAATCACTTCTTCTAACCTGTTTTTGTATTATACTTGAAGAAGAGCATGAAGAACTAGGCCAGAGGGGCAGCAACCAAAACCAACCTACTCAAAGCATACTTTTTTTTCCCCAGCATTGTCACTATGACAGTGCTTTGTTTTGTTTTTAAGAATACAATAGTAGCCTATAAGACACCTGTTAAGCTAATCCAATGCTTGGAGACCAAGATAGACAGAATTCATCTTTTGTTTCCAAAACATGTCTCTCCCATATAATCCTCTTAATACAAGCGCATAACTGTTGAAAACTAGTTGGCACTTTTATCACTCAAGCATAGGGTCATTAGGAAGATAGATTCAGTTGCCAGCTAATGTTCTGATTTGCTGTTTAGAGCCATGACATCAGAGACTTTGGCTTTGGCTTCACTGCACAATGCCACAGCCAGAGAGGGTGGCTTTCAATTATCCTCCACATTCTAATCTATTCTGAGGTTAGTACTCAAAGGTAAAGGAGGAGCAAGAGAATCTACTCAGCAGCATCTGGAAAGGAAGCCCAGATGATCTTTCTCCAATCACTCTCGCTGGAATAAAATCTTAAGTATTTTTAAAATCCATAATCTTTGGCAAATGGATAATATTAATTAGGCTGATTGCATTGATTTTATTTGGAGTGCTGTATGTAAGAATGCTTCTTTTCCTTCTATATTCACATTTTTCCTATAACAATGTTTATATCAAAGGCTTCATTGTTTTAAAAGGGGAAATTCTCATTAGAGCTTTTCCCATGTGCAAGATTTCAGTTGCACAGCTTCCCTTTGCGATTTCAGGATTGACAAAAGTTTTGCAAAGTTTGTTGTGTGCAAAGTTTGCAAATCACCCTTTCTATTTTCCTGAGCACTAGACAGAAGGGAGAAGTACTAACAAGAGTTAAGAAATTATCTAGACAGATAGACTAGGTAGGATATGTCAGAAGGTTTAGCCTGATAGATGACAGCCCATTATAATAATGTTTGATTGGAGAACCCTTTGAAGTAGAGGTCTGTGCTACTTGTTGTCTCTTTGTCCACGTCTTAACACATATCTGCCCAGAAAAAGGTGGATTACAAAAATTACAAGTGTCTGAGCACACAGAGAAATAATTTTCTCTAGCTTGTCCTTGAGTAAATGGACATTTTAGGAATGGATATTCATTTATTTGTTTATTTATTTATTTATTTTTCAGGATTAAAAATTACAAAAGCAAAAAATAGAAAAATAAAACGCACACCGTGTTGTGAACAAAACTTGGCATTTTTATATTTACATTTATAGCAGGTAGCCATTTGGTGAATGGATAAGTATTTCCATGACAGTCATTTTGTGAAAAATGCTCACAAATTCTGAATAGCAATAGCACTTGGACTTATATACTGCTCCACAGTGCTTTATAGCATTCTCCGAGCGGTTTACAGAGTCAGCATATGGCCCCCAACAATCTGGGTCCTCATTTTACCGACCTCAGAAAGATGGAAGGCTGGGTCAACCCTGAGCCAGTCAGGACTGAATTGCTGGCTGGGCAGAGTCAGCCTGCAATACTGCATTCTAACCACTGCATCACCACAAACAGCCTCAGCAACCTAAAAAGATAAAGTCATCTCTTAAACTGAAGAATGTTATCTACTGTGGGTAGAATGGATCTGGAGAGAAGCAATATCTCTCTCTCTCTCTCTCTCTCTCTCCCTCCCTCCCTCCCTCCCCCCCTCTCTCTTGCTCGGTCTAGCTCAGAGATGTCCAACCTTGGTAACCTTAAGACCTGTGGACTTCAACTGCTGGCTGGGGAATTCTGGGAATTGAAGTCCACAAGTCTTAAAGTTGTCAAGGTTGGACATCCCTGCTGTAAACTTTAGGTTTTAACAGGGTTTTTGTTTTGTTTTGTTTTCTCTGGCAAGACTAGTGTTTTGCTAGTGAGAAGTGGGTTGATCAAAGTATCTAGTGGTAGAATGGGGAAACACCATCTCTCTGTTTCCTCACCCAAAGTATTGTCCAGTTGTCAATGACATGGAGGTTTCATGATGAGACCTATTGGAGAGATTAAAACATACATGCGCCCAGCATATGTGCATGCATTTTCAGATGTCTCTCATCAAAGAGTGGGGGAGGGTGTTTATCGGGGCAGGAAACTTGCAGTGTGTGAAGGTTTGATTGCTAAGACTGATGGCCAGAGAGCACCCTTGTCTTGCTGAACACATGTCCCAAGGTCCCACCTACATTTACTAAGCCTGTCCCATACCACCCCAGGCTACATAGAGTGATTGTGGCTATTTTTTCCTCAACTGATGACACTTGGTAAGTTGAGAAACAAAATAAGGGAAATTCAGCAATCCTTTTCTTTAATTTGTCCATCATTAAAATAGTAAGGGTAGTATCAGTGATTGGCTGTATTGTTAGAAAAACATGGGGCTCAGCAATTAGGCAGCAAATTTTACTCCAGCATATTTTTCTGCTAGCCAAAGGACAAGTAGACAGGTTTTAATATATATTTGTAGCTGAGACCTGACCCTGGCAGAACCAATACAGAGCAGTAAGAACTTGAAAATCACACGGTGGATGAAGATTCCTGATGGACACTTATGATTGGGCAATGTAAAGAAACAGAACCTCCAAGGTCAAGAGTTCCTTGTTAAAGATCAAGGAGCATTTTTTAAAAGGAACTATGATATAACCCTACTGGGTTGTAGAGGGCCAGGTCAGAGTGTCACTTGTTCCATAGTTGATGTGGATTCTTCTTAGGTTGACCTTTGCACCTGTCCATCTCTAACTAGCTGGCAGGACCAGATGCAAGCAATACTCAAGAGCACCATTTTAGAAGCCAAGAGGGAGATGGGAGAGAGAGAGAAAGAGCACAAACCATAAAGTTCAGCTGGAGGACATATTCAGTGGGGAGCAGTGTATTTCCAGAACACTTGGAGCTGCACCACCAAAATTATGCTCAGTTGACCACCTCTCTTTGCCTTTAAGAAAAAGACTTCATGCATTTGACCTGTACACTTTGCATGGCAGCCTCTATTTATCTATCATCTTCCAATTACATTGCACTATACTCTCCTTGGCTTCACTGGTTGATGATCTTTATTACTGTAGTCTAACATCTTGCAATTACCTGATTCAACAAGGCAGGGATCTGTAAATATATAGCCATGAGGAGGAAAATACTACTTTAAAACTGGAACAGCCAAAGGCAACTTTTTGCCACCATAGCCATAGGATGGCGATAAGACAAAGGGAGGTGTCCAAATGAGATGCAGGAGGAATCAGCTTAGAAGACTCTACTAACTCCAGAGTAAGGTGATGATGGTGATGTTATCCATTCATCTGACTCTTGGCGATTCTATGTGCCAGGCCTCTCCACATCTTACAATCTTGCGCTTCTTCTTTGAGTTTTTCTATGCTCTGGTGGGTGCCAGAGGTCCAGCCACCATATGCTTTGGCAGCCTGCTGCAATGTCTTGATGGGTAGATGTAAACATATAAACCTGATAAAGCTGGTATGCCCTTGAAAGAAGAGGTCTATCTGTAGGTGAAGACCATCTTCCATTCCTAAATTTTAAGAACATAATCTATCTGCACATTCCAAAATATCTATAATAATAGGAAGTGGATAATTAGTTTGATTAATGCAGCCTGAGATGTTTGTTCTTGTTGAGATTGCTCATTACTCAACTAAAATGTAACTAAGACTGCATGATATTCCTGAACCAAACTGTAAATTAGGATATGAGTAGAGTACAATTTCACAACAGCAAGAATACAGATATGGTCTACCACAAGGGATGTTTTTGGCAGAAGGTAGTTTTAGGATCTTGCCAACTCTGATCTCTATAAGCCAGGATAAAAGAAATGTGAGAAAGATTGCCTTGTGGAGTTGCAAGTTAAAGGGAAAATCCTGATTTTTTAAAAGTAATTCAAGAAGAATCAATACAGTGGACCTGTAATGATAGTGGCAGGGACTGGATCACAAGGTCGGCAAAACAAACTCATGGATCACTTCACTTACTTGGGTGGTTTCTATAGTCTAAGGACGTGTCTCACTTGCCTAAACGTAAAGCACAAACATGTGCTGATCTCGCCCACAAAGTTGGTATTATCTTGTTCCCATCATGTGTGAAAAAGGCTTATGAAATATTCCGTTAACTAGCCTGCAACCACAGCCTTTCCTCTCCCAAGGTTTCCTATCCAGAAACAGACAACATCCATAATTTCTCCATTCCTTTCTGTTTTTTCTACCAGCTTCTTCCCATGCTCCCAACATGGCAGAGGAGAGGAAAGCAGTCTTCCAGTATTTCACTGGGGAAAGAAGAGGGGATATGCTTTTATCATTCCACTTTAACACTAATCCTGAAAGATTTATGTATTGTTAGAGGCAACATTTTCCTGTTTTCCTTATTGCTGCATCTAGAAAAG